TCTCCCTATCTTCACAAACGGTCTCTTGGAACGGATTAAATTCGTAAGCTGAGGTACCACTGTATAAAGAAGAGAGAGGTGTTCCACTGCCACAATGTTTAAGAGTAATAGGAAGCTTTTATATAATGAGAACTCATTATATTGTACATGTGAATATTAATGGTTTTTAGTTACAGCTTGTTTTAGGCCCTGTGCGTCTGTTTAACACTATAGGACATTAGATTGAATTGTCTATCACAGAACAAACATGGTTCTTGCCACCATTCTGGGGGTTATATATAGATCTTGCTGGTAGTGTGGCCTACCTGCTAAGATGAGTAAAGATCTGTTACATAAAAGAACAGTGCCGTATAAAAATGCTCGGAACAGGACTAGTTTGGATTTAATTTTTGAACTTGTGAATCTGAAGGTCTTGAGTTATTTTTTCCTGTTACTAATTAGGTAAAGTTATTGAACGTGAATCACTTATTTGCTTAATTACATTGTTTTCATTGAGGATCTTTAATGTATTTTTATTAATAAATTTATATTACTGGTAATTCAGTACTGTATAGTATAGCATGTCTATGCTTTAGAGATTTTTACAAAATAGGAAGAATATAAAAAATGTTTTTCTTCAAATGTCAGGCTTAAATGTTATGCTTTACATTTCATATGCATTTTGTTGATGAAATTGTGGAATGGGCTTAAAGCTGGGTACAACTTGCAGGTGTTGAGTGCCCTTCCTTCTTGGCGCCTGCTTAGATAATGTGTGCCGCTTCCCTCCCGGCAGCCTCAGTGCACAGCAGCTCAGGCAGGACCTTGTGTGTGCCCAGTTGTGGGGGTTGACTTTTAATAGCATTGTTGTGTGAATATAGGTTCTGAGGAGATAGTCTAAAGCAGATAAAGACGGATTTTCTTTTAAGTACTTGAATTAAAAGGTTATTTGTTTCACAAATGATTCAATTAAAGTAATTCTGCTTCTATTAGAAAAGTGTATTTTATATAGTTATAATTGTTTGGGATACTTATAAATTTCAAGTTGGTGAACTACACGTGCACATATATATGCTGCTGGCAAAACATTGTGCTTTATACAACATTTGCAACTCAGGATCTATACTGTATACAGAACGTATTTTGCAAAATGTGTGTTAAATCTTGTGTTGATTACTGAGGATGCTTTGATCAGTTTTAATCCTAACTTTGAGTGCTTTGACTTGAATAACATGGTCTTGTCTTTTATTAATCTTATATGCATAGTAATACTTCAAATTAGAGCTTGTAAAGTTACTCTTAACAACAGCTTACCTTAGTGTCTCTCCTGTGTAAGTTAAGTACTGTATAGTCTTAAGATTTGTTTTTACCTCTTTCAGCTTGAACTTAAATAGCTTTGCAATACAGTAAATGTTATTTACATATATAGTACCAGGTGTGTGTCTGAAATTCACTCTTATCACAGAGTAAGAAATTGCTTTGCATTGGACTTGATATTTAATTATCGTGTAGTTGTTTTATAATTGTTGCACATTGTGGCCATTTGACCATATATGTGATATCTCCCGTCCCAGGGAACTCCTCCCCAATCTTCAGACGATTGGTTGCTTTACCATTACACTACTCCCATATATGCCGACTCAGTTCCTAGTATTACTTTATGCGCAAGTCCGGGTCCGTCTAATTACTCAAAGCTACCCAAACTTTCTCAAAACTACACAAAGCTTCCTAGCATTACATTAGTAATGAATGAATATGATATATTTATTCATTATAATGTTGGTGCTGAATGTAGAACATGAAAAACATATTTCTACTCTGAAAAAGTATAATTTTATAACGAAATTAGACGAAAATAAGAAGCGGGTGACGCCAGAGCAAATCAACGGTCCAAATGACAATGTTTGCTGGCACACGAGCCTCCTGTACCCAACCCAACCCAACCCAACCCAACCCAACCTAACCAACCTACCTAAGCAATCTAACCTAACCAACCTACCAAACCAACCTAACCTACCCTGTCTTATCCTATCCAATCCAAACATAGTTTAATATAACCTGTAGGCAACAATATATCTTGAATAATGTGTTCATCTTGGATAAGTCGCTCTACAACGTTGTCGCTTGGATCAGCGACTTCCTATGGCCTCTCATGCCACGTAGTTTCATCAAATTTCGTTATAAATTTATATTATTTCAGAGTAAAAATATGTTTTTCCTTATTCTACATTCAACACCAACAATATAGTGAGTAAATATATCATATTTCTTGATAACTTATGTAATGCTAGGAAGCTTTGGGTAGCTTTTAAGTAAATTTGGGTAGTGTTGGGTATTAGACAGATCGACAAGTCCCTATCTCGCCCCCAACCTCACCCCGACCTCACCACACCTCACCCCCCCCCTTCACTTGACCTCACTGCACCCTGGAGCCTTCCCCCCCAACCTCACCCACCCCCCCTTCCCCCAACCTCACCTCACCCCCATTCCCCCCAAACTCACCTCACCCCCCCTTCCCCCAACCTTACTCCCCTTCCACGAACCTCCTTGAGGTTACCTTGAGGTTACCTTGAGGTGCTTCTGGGGCTTAGTGTCCCCGTGGCCCGGTCATCGACCAGGCCTCCTGGTTGCTGAACTGATCAACCAGGTTGTTCGATGCGGCTGCTCGCAGCCTGACGTATGAATCACAGCCTGGTTGATCAGGTATCCTTTGGAGGTGTTTGTCAAGTTCTCTCTTGAACACTGTGAGGGGTCTGCCAGTTATGCCCCTTATGTGTAGTGGAAGCCTGTTGAACAGTCTCGGGCCTCAGATGTTGATAGAGATCTCTCTCTGAGTACCTGTTGCACCTCTGCTTTTTAACGGGGGTATTTTGCATATCCTGCCATGCCTTCTGGTCTCATGTAATTACCCAAGTGTAATTACCTAAGTGTAGTTACAGTATGAGAGCTACGCTCGTGGTGTCCTGTCTCCCCAGCACTCTGTCATATAATGCTTTAAAATTACTGATGGTTTTGGCCTCCACCACCTTCACACTTGTTCCAACCGTCTACCACTCTGTTTACAAAAGTGAATTTTCGTATATTTCTCCGGCAGCTTTGTTTCGTTAGTTTAAATCTATGACCTCTTGTTCTTGAAGTTCTGGGTCTCAGGAATTCTTCCCTATCAATTTTATCGATTCCTGTTACTATTTTGAACATAGTGATCATATCGCCTCTTTGATCACTACATTCCAACAACCTACATATTACAACAATCACTACGTTCCAACAATCTCTATGTATTACAACACAAATGACTGGATCACAAATCCAGTCATTTGTGTTGTGGATACCGACTCTAAATGTCAGGGAGACAATAGGCTTTTCAAGTAGCATATTAGGTATGAATTATTAACAATGATATACTGTATTAAATTATTTTTTATTTTTTGTTTGCATGTCAATGGAAAACTTCTAGAAGACATTATTCAGCAGATACCGTGTAAGAGAGAAGTGTTGTAAATGTAGTGTATGGCAGGATAGTGATTGCAAAAAATACAGAAAAATAATGGAAGTTGGTTAAGTGATGCACAAGGTAATTTTCATTGGTAATGAGGTTGTGTGGACCAGGTACACCTCTGTTATACATTACAACACCTATTGGAGATAGCAGGTGAGAAAGCTTATAAGGTATAAATGGCCTTTATGACATGGAAAGAGCACATGATATTAAATGTGGAGGGGACCGGAGAGTGAAAAGCATATACGTAGTTCGTGGAATATAATATCAAGAAAGTAATATCATATTCAGAGTTAAATGGCAAGCTTTTCTCTGAATGCTCTGTGTTCCCTTCTGTGAGGCTGTGGGTCCCTACAATGGCACCAGAGGTGGTAGTACCCCCTTTATATATCATATCGTAAAAATATTAGGAAGGATTGAGTGATTAGAGAATGTTGAGATGATTATCATGCTGGATGGCGAAGGGAGTGTGTTTGAGTGAATTAAAGGCTATGGGGGGGGGGGGGGGTGGAAGGGGGGTGAAGAGGATGGACAGGTGTAAGTAGTAGTAGTAGCAAGAAGAGAGAGTAAGTAGTAGTAGTCTTTTTAGGGTTGCAAGTGTCATTTTTACTCAGCGTCACCCCTTTCTCTTATTGTATCTGAACCATTGGAAGTGTGCTTGAGGAAGTGGGGATGGATTTAGAACGACACTATGGTTGGCTAAGGTGGTTGTTATTTTGAATTTTTATGTCATTTCTATATTGGTCTCATCATCTCTGATGTAATTCCTTCCTTCCTCATGAAAGTGACAAATGGATTTAGAATTATGATTATTAAAGGACAAATAAGATAAGAACTTGGAGTTTGTGATTGAAAGGGATCTTTGAGAAAAGTTAAAGATGACTTGGAAACTGAAAATGGACAAGTTACTTTTAAAGGATAGAATTACTGTATTTGTATTCAAGTTTAGCTTTAGGGCTCTTGTTTATATGTCAGTGATGAATGGAACATAGTGTTAACTTCAAAATATTAAACAGCAGATATATTTAGTTATAATATTCAGTGACAGGATGAAGTGAAAATTGTGTTGTAACAAGGAATTCGGGGAGTGGTTTAAATAAGGAAGAAAACTGTGCTATTAAAGATATGTTATCTGATCATTTTAATTATGAGAGAGGTCTAATGGTATCTAGTGTTGCTCATTCTTGGCATATTAATACAATTTTGTTGCAGTGAATCTGTACATTATTATTTCAAATAATTATTTAGAGGTATTTAAAGATATTTTTTTATATTTGAATGCATGTATGTGTGTGTACATATATAATTTATATATAAATTATATTTATATATAAATTATATACTGTATAATTGTTAAAAGTTTGTTGACCTCCACTTTATAGGGGTCACCTAACTTCACTTTGTTGTACTAAATATTTACAGTATTTTCAAGTTCTTTTAAGGTTATTTGTTGTGGGTGAATTTGGGATTATATGGTGAAGACAATCTCTGTAACCTGTTAATAAATTGGTTGTGTGTGTTTCAGGTTCCTCAAACGTAGCAGTACCAACGTCACCTAACCTAGCTCCTAACTTCTCTAATGCCCCAAATACACAAGTTGTTTGTTCATCTCCATCCCCAATTTCCTCCTCATGTTTGTCTTCTCTTTCTTCAACTGAACCTTCATCACCATTGCTCCCTCCTCTTTCTCCTCCCTTTCATTCTACAAAAACAAGTACAGACAGTGGAGGACTTGGATCATCATCATCTCCTCTAGCTCCAAATTCACTTGCTTTCAGCTTTGTAACGAGCACCTCCTCTGTATCAGCAGCAACTGTTTCATCACTGTCAGCTTCATCACACACTCCTTCAGCTGCAACCTCACATTCGCTGCTCCCACCCCCATTGCCGTCATCACCGCCACCACCATTGCTGTCCCCAGTCTCGACTGTTTCAATGCCTTCAATGGACTCGACTCCTTTACCCAGTAAAGCTCCAAGTTTAACCTCTTCAAAACCCTCCCTGGCTTCAATAAATTTTCATTATTGCTCGCCACCACCTACTTCCCCGTCTGGTCCGCCACCACCTTTACCTCTTAGTGATCCTCCCATTCTGCTCACCCCAATGGATGGTGAGGAACTGGAGCCTCCTCACTCCCCTCTGGATGTGTCGACACCTCTGACTGTGGATGGGATGACTGCATTACATCTCGCAGCACAGGGAAACAACTGGCAGTAAGTTGGAAGTGTTGCTCAATACAGTATCTGCTAATTATATTAATGTTCCATTCCAACGTGTTCCATTCAAGTAATAATCTGTATTTTTAAGAGAATGAAGTACAGTAGATCTATATAATGTTCATTGCAGTATTTGTAAATTTTGGCTGCTATAGTTTGAATAAAGTAATATCCTTTTAGTATGCATTGCAGGAAGTTTAAAAAAAACTATTTTTTTTTTTAGTAATACACAACAATACAGCTAGATTTATGTACTGTTTTTATTCTTTAAATTGTAATGTATACATTTTTTACAAGAGATCAAATGTCAGTAATATGAGAAACCTCAAAACAACTATGGATACGGATTAAATAAATGCCAAAATGCAAATTATCGTAATTTGTTACTGCAAGTACATTGTGTCATACTGTCATCTACAGGTTTCTTGTTTTTAGTAGGGCTCAGCAGCTGGCCCTTCTGCCTTAGGGGAAGAGGGCGTTTAACTTTGGGTGCTGATTAAGGATGTCTTTTTTTTTTTCGTTCAACTCTGTTAGCTTGATTACCTTCCCATTTTCAGCTTGGGCTTGGGAAATGCTGCCTCACTTTAGCCTATGTCACACATCCTCTGGTTGTCTCTGGATGCATTAAACTTTTCTTTGCAATTCTGTTGACTGCTCTGGATTTATATGCGAGCAACCCTAGCTATCCAGCATCTCCTTTAGAGGTTTCCTCGGTGTTTCTGGTTTCATGCTTCTGGCAGCCTTCAGCACTGTCTTGAGTTTAATCCAGATACTTTGGTGTCATCTGGAGCTCTTGTCTCCACCCATCATCACATAGGGTAGTATTGTTGGTCTCTGGTGGGGGTTACAATTCTACTGCATCATCCATTTAACAGTGGTATTAAATATATTGAAATGTATTACTATCTGTAAGGGCTTGGCCAGCCATTTGGAGTCGCTCAGGGTGCTGATGAATTGTCTTGGCTTGCAGTTGATGGGGGGTGGTGGGGAGGCTTTATCTAATTCCTCTTGTTGTGAGATTGAACTTTTTAACTGCAGCTTCTGGCTTCTCAGACTTTGGTCCTAACAGCTGTCCACATTTGCAGGGTTTCAGATGTGTTTACTGCTGGTCTCTTGCTTTAGTCTAATTGAAAGATATGGAAGATAGATGCTTTCCTTTTCTGGATGTTGATCATGCAGGTCGGGGACCTACATGATCCTATTTACTGCTAGGTAAATCCCATCCCATCGTATTTACTGCTAGGTAATGGGCATCAGGGACAAACTGCTCATTTGTTACTGCCATCACCGGGGATCGAACCCAAACCTAGGATTACGAGTCAAGAGCACTGTCAACTCAGCTATCAGGCCCCTGTGCGTCGTCTGCATTGTTGAAGCTGTTCGCTTCGATCCTGTGGGATACGGTTTCGCTGTTTTTTGCTTCCCGTCTCGCATGTCGGCAGGCAGTTGCTTCTTCTTTGGAATCCGCTTGGGCCTTGCCTGTTAGGTTGTCTTCCCCCTTTTGTCTATTGCTGTTTGCAGAGTCTGCAGTTGTGCAGTACAATATCTGTAGGCAGTTTTGTCTACTTGTCGTCCTAAGTCAGACTTGTTGGTTTTCCAAGGGGCTCGTGGTGGGGCCTTCCCAGAGGGGTCGTACCAGGGCCCAGGGTTCCTCCCGTCTTGGTAGGCCAGTGGCGCCAGATTCGGTGGTGGCGCAGTCTTCGGAACCGTCTGTTTCTAATCGACGCTGTGATTGATCTGTGCGCCGCCTTGGTTCTCGTAAGAGGTGTCGACCCTTTCGCAGTTCGTCCCATTGATGAAGCGATGGAGGGGGGGGGGGACTCGCCCTGTTTGCTCATGTTTGGACCCACGATTTGTGGGCCTTTCAGGTAGCTTTATGCGGCCTGCAGTGGCGTTGGGTGGCCCCTCCTTTTGGGGGATCAGGATTGGTGGGGCAGGCCTCTTCTCCTGTGCTCTGTCGGGCCATCTTGGAGTGGGTTCACTTGGGTGTGGTTGAAATGACCTCGTTCCTTAAGTGGGTTTCCTGCCTGTTTCTGGTTCTGAAATGGGACTGCGCGGACCTCAGGTTCATTCTGGTCTTGTCTAGTCTGAACCCATGGGTTTATTGCCCTTCCTTTCGGATGACTATTCTGTCCCAGGTCTGTCTACTGTTGGAGCCGGGCGATTGGATGGTGTCCCTAGACCTCAAGGACGCGTATTGGCATGCCTCGATTCATCCAGGGTTCAGGGACTGACTCGGTTTTGTTGTGGGGCGTCAGGGTTACAGCTTTTGTTGCCTTCCATTCGGCTCAAGTCTGGCACCTTGCGTTTTCACACGCCTTACTCAGGTCGTGGTGGCCCGTCTGCGTCTTTTTGGTGTTCGGGTTCTGGCCTACCTCGACGACTGACTGGTGTGGGCTCCCAGCCAGTCTGCGTGTATGCTTGCCAGGAATTTAGTTCTTTCCTAGCTCGCCAGGTACGGGTTCGTGGTGAACTGGCGGATTGTCTCAAAGCTCTTCAAATGTACTCACTAGAATGGAGACGAGAGAGAGATGTCAAATAATATACACGTGGAAAATATTGGAGGGCCAGGTCCCAATTCTACACAGCAAAATAACAACTTATTGGAGTGAACAATATGGAGGAAAATGCAGAATAGAACCAGTGAAGAGCAAGGTCACCATAAACACAGAGAAAATCAGAGAACTTTGCTCTTGAAAGGTAAAGAACACAAAAGAGTGTGAGTGTTTGGTCGTAAAATATGTATATTTTCTATAACCAACAACCCGTGTAAATTAAAATATTCTTCCTCTGGAATTTGCAAATTCCCCCCCCCCCCCCCCTCCCTCCCCTTCTCCTCTTCTCCCCAGTTGATAGGTTAGCACCACCTCCACTGTTTACTCATTACAGTGCCCTGTAATCATTCAGTCCCCAGTACTCATTACACCACTTTTCTGAGGGGAGTCCCGTTGGCTCCCTGGAGCTATCGGACTGATATTAGCTATAATAGTCGAGGGATTCAGTCATATGGAATTCTATGCCTACCGGGAACCACGAGCCAGAACTTGTTTCCCTCAGAGGCGAAGGAAGCACTGGCCTATGAAAACTCCACTCTTTGAGAGTATATTTGTTTGCCATTGACCGGGGTTAGGCACCCAGAAAGGTAGGCACCTCAAAACAGACCCCCAGCTGGTAGAAAAGTGCAACCCAAGACCGAACAGAGCCCAAGAACTCCCCCCAAGAAAAACAAGGCAACAAGCAAATCGTTATCAACTCGACGTGCCACTCGTTCACGCACCCCCTCTGCACTGGGAGGGGAAGGGGGGGGGGGGATTAGTCCCTCTTTTACCTAGCTTTGGGTATCTAGCTCCAGGGAGCCGACGGGGCTCCCCTCAGTAAACCAGCAATGAATGTAATGAAACGCCATTTTCTGGGTGAGCCCCGGTAGCTCCCTGGCACCCTCCAGGGTGTTCTGTTTGATAATGTAGCTAATATCAGTCCGAAAGCTCCAGGGAGTTTTTGGGGCTCGGCCAGAAAAGGGCATTACATTATATTCAACACTGGTTTTATGTATTCAGAGTTATGACAACCTGTGGGTACCTCTCGATTGTTTTAAGATCAAAACATACACTATATAATTTCCTAATGTTAATGCTCCATCTTGTATTGAACAGTATTGTTTAAAGACCGAGTTGGTTCCCGAAGTGAAATACTGTAGTATTTTTTCTGTATAGCTTGCAAGTCCTGTCTTCTGTGTGAAAGATTAATTTTGAATTAAATACTGAAACTGTCAAAGTTTACCACTAACTCCTCTCCTTCATTGTTTCTCTTGAATCCTTGTGCTTGCCTTCTCATCAGTGGCTCCAAACCCAGACCAGAAACCAGAGCCTTGTTAACAAGTGAGTGGCCTGCCTTCTGTCTCCTAGTAGCCATTGTCACTTTAGAGTAGATGTACTTAACTACTAACTTGATGAGTTACTGTCATTGAGGATAAATGCTTCTGTAGGTACAGTATGTGCAGAGTTCAATTTGAAGATTTGTTGTGAGGGAATTTATGTAATTGTCAATGTGTTTTTATTTTTTAATAATAGTGCAATTTTTTGCAAGCATTTTATAGCCTTGTATGCTATTCTAACCAGTCTCTTCTCAGTAATAACTAAATTAGTCTGAGGGTTAATTGTAGTCAAGATTAGATTGCTAACGATGCTTTAGTGAAAGTTTCTGTGGGTGTCACCACTGTATTTGTTGCTCCCCCGAGTCATAGCCATGGGGTCATGCAGGTCACCATTATCATGCCAGGCACTGTGCAACATTGAGCTTTACCAAGATAAATATCTTTTAAAATGATTGTGTCTTGCAGTGCACGGGCAAGTTGCACAAAGAGCATACATTTGTCTAGCACTAAAAAAAAAACTGCTTTGTCTGATAAAAGGCACATATACCTCTTGGTATTCCCAATGAATGCTCACTACAACTACACAAATGCTGTCATAATAGGCAGTTATTGTTCTAAAACTACATAACTAGCAAATACCCATTATGCTGACTGCCACCAGGTGACAGCGGTGGTTAGTTCAGCTGGATTAGGGGAAGTGGCATTCCTCACTCTGTTCCTGACAGTTACCATATGCAATGTGCAGCTCTGCAGATTACCATTCATTTGTGTGGTTATTCTCAGAGACTTCACCTGTGCAAATGGTTTATGTTTCAGTGTTCTCTCCATGGTTTATTGTGTATCTTTGGACTTGATTTCTGCTTCAGCTTAGTTTTAGGGTTCACTGGTATTGATTGTCAGTGAGCGACAGCCACTAGATACAGCATCTTCAGAGATTGTTCAGGTAACCTTCAGTATGGTATGGTGTCTTTGGGGTCATGTCTCCAGGCTGTGGCCTTCGTTTGGTTTATTTGCCTACATCAGTTTCGTGCATGTAGTTTCATTGGGGTGATTACATGCCAACCTCATAATCAGAGTGTTTGTTTGAGTGTGTTGAAATGACTTATTTTTCTGTCGAGGCCCTTCGGCTCCCTGGAGCTCCCTGGGCTAATGTGTGATATATTAAACTTGGGCATTAGTCTATGGAGTTTGACCTACCGGGGACCACGAGCCAGAACCTGGCCTCTTCAGGGAAGTTGCAGGGAGCAATGGCCCTGGAACCCCCCCCTTTTTTTTGGTAGGTAGGGCATAGCCCTAAATGTCTTCAATATTTGACTACACAGGCATCCACATTTTGTCACTGGAGATGAGATTTCAGGGGTCTGCTCTCAAGGAAGTCTGGCCAGATGTGTGGAACCCAGCCCTTGGTCTTTTGTCTTTTCCTTCTTTACAAGATTGGAACCTTTGTTTTGACCTTAATGAGAGTTTGAGACATTCTTAGTTGACGTGCTGTCTTTCCCTTTTGCCTTGTGGGATCTTTGGCTAGTCACAGGTATACCTGTTTATCTGCATGTGAAATTGCTGTCCTATGGTGTATATGCAACCCATCCTCCTGTATAGATACTAATTTTTATAACTGTGCACCATAGTAGAAACATTGATGTAAAAGGCAATTAGATAGAATTTGGTACTATTCACTTTATAATTAAAAAAAATAAAGCTAAAAAATAATTATTGCTAGGCCTAGTATAGCACTTGTATGTACTGTACTATATTAGGCCCCAGATAGCGTGTATCAGACCTAGGAAGGTTAGGTTTGGTTAGTTTAGTTTGTCTTTGCAACACAAATACAAAACCTTTCCTGGTTTGTCAAAATTCAATAGTATTGCTGTCTACTTTGTAATTATTCATTATGTCATAAGTGTACTATGGTCCTCATCATTACTATAAGTACTAACTAAACAGGAGGGTGGACATGTTGGTATATGGCAATGTTCTTGGGCAAGGAGATGTTAGCAGCATTAAATATGATGTTTCTACAGTTGAATCTGTAAAAACCAATGGTCTAGATGTGTACTCCATGATCAAGTTTAAAAGATTTGTGAGCCACATATATTTTGTTAGCTCCCATGTGGTTGGTCCAGCCTTTGTTCACAACAAGCTCTTGTTGCCCCCATCCAGTTTCCTTGTTGGACTTTCACATCACCCAGGCAATAGGTATCAGTGTTTGAGGGATTCATTCTTGCGAGTTTTGGGAGCTACACTAGTTTTGACTGTTGCTAGCAGATGAGAACATTTAGCGAGTCCAGGTGCCAGATTTGTCGGCCAGAAGACCTGCTTGAAAACTATTTTATTTATTTTGTATTTATTTTGTTGGCACCTGGAATAAAGTTGATTAAGTAGATATATGTCTAATTTAGTTAATTTACTTTCTTGAATGTTTGTCAGCTAGTGTGGCAAAGTTTTCTTCATGTTGATTTGGTTTGTGCCTCAGCTGGGGTCATTCTATTCTTGAACTTGTCTTTTGCATTCACAGCTCCTTTGAATCAAGTGCCTAGTTCAAGGCATTTTTGTGTTGACACAGCACCTTGGATGCATTGTCTTCACATAACTGGTGCAGAATTTAGTGATTTGTGTACTTTAGGTCTCACTTAAGAGGTTTTGTTTCATTCTGGCCAGGTTTCCACACTACCTTTCTGGAACTCGAGTATTGCTTTATTATTAACTTGGACCAAAATTACATTTTCTCAATTAGATTGACTCAAGAAACTAGGCAAACTGACCAGAAAGTTGAGCAAACCAAAACAGACCACTGCTTGAAGGAAAAGTGTTGCTGGGAAACAACACAAACAATGGTTGCCAGTGGAGTGAACAACACTACTTACATCTTGTGTGGCCACGTTTCCTATAGTCTTCATGTTTGCCTTCATTTTGAGGGGTCACTTTTTTTTTTTTTTTTTTTTTTTTCTTTTTTTTTTTAGGACTTTGGCAGTTTTGTTTTAAGTGGTTTTAGCTACATGTAGCTGTGTAGATCAGCTTCATACTCCCCTCTGCCATTCTTTGTTTCTCTTGTATATTCAAGAGAATGCTTTCGTTCATCTCTGCCTGAATCCTTGTTAATAAGAAAGTGATACTTGGCAGTCTCTTTGAGGCTGATTATCACTAGGAGTTTTTCATTGTAAATTAATAAAGTTTCTAGAGGTAATTTTAAGCTGCTTAGAGAAATCCCATATTTTCCATTGTTGACCTTGGCTGGCTGCTGTTGGTAATGTTTAGTGAGAGCAGGACATTACATAAAGAAGAAACCAAGTAGCCTGCTCAGAGAAATCTTTCACCTACACTCGTATACTTACTTTTGTAAGTATACAGTGCATCGATTTGGGGAAAAAGAAGAAGAAAAATGACTTGGGGTTCATGCTAAATATGCAAAAATATAAATGAAGATCAGGTTGCACGATTTGTGCTAGATGATACGGGTAAATCTTGCCAAGCGCTAGTACCAGTCACGTCCTGACATTCAAGTCCTCATTTATTGCTCATTACCATCTTGTACCTTTAGTAGCAAAGGGTGCTGTAGGGTATTTAGGCTTCTTAAGCTTTGTATTGTGAAATATGGCATGAAGTAATAGTGCATATTAATCATGGGATTAAGTATCTAGATATTTCATATGTAGACCTTTGTCATGTTATGGGATCAGAACTTTGTTGGTTATCCTGATTATTCGTAGGAATTTTTGTTCATCTTCTACAGTACTGTACTGTATTGTAGTGTCTGTTGTTTAAATGTAATTGCTATGGGTTTTAAATTGTTGATGTGTTTTAAAATTTAAATAACTTGTTTCTAAATCATTCATTTGGGAAAATTCCATATCTTGTTTTTTATGGTTGTGTGTTAAGGAAAGTAATTTCAAAATGGTCTCAAGATATGGTTTGCTTATTTATAAGTGTGTTTGACCTAAAGTCATATTTTAGCATCCTTAAGTAATGTGATGATTGCTGAATTGTTGGGCCTGCATATAAGAGTGTGTTGTAAAGGAGGTATATACATAGCATAAGTAGTAATGGGGTGTGATGTGGCAGATCGGTACCGGTGCTTGTGAGGTGCGGTGCCAGTGTTAATGCCGAGGACGAAGACGGTCGCACGCCTACCTACCTGGCATTGCTGTATGCCTGCACTCCGGCTGCTGCTGCCCTGCTTAGCTTTCCTCAGTCCCTAGAACACACCACAAAGGTAGGTAGAATTTGCTGTGTTAATATCTTTGTATTTAATATTTTGCAGCAGAAATGTGGCTCATTTCTTAATTCTAACTGTAACAGCAATTGCTATGCTTACTTACTGCCAGTCAAATACTGTTCATACTTTGTTATATATTAGTACTGTATTTTAAATAGTACTAGTAGTTATGAAACTACGTAGTGTAATTATTAATTTTGACTGTTACTCCACATGTAAAACTTATGAGGATTAAGATTGTTATAAGATTGTTACAACTTCTTGCAAAATCTAGGTTTTTGTAACTTGGTATTCATACATAATAGCTACATTAAATAGAAGTATCACCATGGACCAGAGGAGTCCCTTGCCTGCTCTAAAGTAATATTGATGCTCCATTTTATTTTACTTTAATGTAGGTTTACAATGGTGTCATGAAATTAACCGCTTCTAACATAGATTCAAATTCAAAATTCAAATTCAAATGTTTATTCAGGTAAAGTACATACATACAAGGTGTGATACAAATATTGATGAATTTATAGATAGAGCTAGTACATACAATGCCTAAAGCCACTATTACGCAAAGCGTTTCGGGCAGGAAAAACACTAAAGACTAAAACTTAATACTAATTGAGATTAAAGTATAAAATGTGTTGAGTAAATATAAAAATAAAAAAAGGGGGAACATTGCAGAATAAAAGCAAAAAATACAATTTGGTCAACAAACAGCATTGTTTAAATAAATAGTAGACATGGGTTGACATTTAGGGGTAAGGTAGGTTACAGGGAATTTATTAGGTAGTGTTTAGTTTTTATCTTAAACTGGTTGAGAGAGGTACAGTCTTTAACATGATTGGGAAGGTCATTCCACATTCTGGGTCCCTTGATTTGTAGAGCATTTCTAGTTTGACTAAGTCGTACTCTTGGAATATCAAAAAGGTATTTGTTTCTGGTGTGGTGCTCATGGGTTCTGTTACAACCTTCAGTGAAGCTTTTAAGGTCAGGATTGACATTACAGTTCAGCATTATATATATATATATATATATATATATATATATATATATATATATATATATATATATATATATATATATATATATATATATATAATGCTGAACTGTATATATATTTATATATATATATATATATATATATATATATATATATATATATATATATATATATATATATATATATATATATATATATATATATATATATATATATATATATATATATATATATATATATATATATATATATATATATATATATATATATATATATATATATACAGGAATAGTTACGTAATGATTATTATTATAATCATTGAGTGTCACTAATTTACTGTCTTTATTTACAATCTGAGAGCACAAGTTCTAACATAATTTTTTTTTTAAGTGTCAGCATCAGAGTATCAGTTTTTTTCCAGTGAGACACCTGATACCAATACAGTGTATTGGTATCAGGTAGCAAGGTAGTATCAGGTAGTGAGCATTATCAGTCAAAATATTGGTACCAGTACAACCTCTACTTTGAGACATTATGAAAATTTTTCTGTGGTATTTGTGCAAGTTTATCCTAGTGTCTTATTGCATGATCTTGTCTAATCAGACATAGTGGTGTATTACCTTGAGGAACTGCAGCAGGATCTGCTTAGAAATCACTGTTCATGTAATGTGCCGGTACTGTACTTGAAGCCTTATTCTGTGGCCATTATCTTCTTAGTAATGATATTATTGAATGATGATTGTAACATTGTACAACAATATTTTTTTTTCTAGGATGGCTGCAACTACTTGCACGCTGCCATAAAATCCGGTGAAGTTGAATGTGTTGATGTTTTGGTGCAACATGTATTAGCTATAGAAGAGGGCCCAAACTTGTTGCACCGACTTGCTGGAGGGCCGGACCATCGAGGCAACACACCACTTGCCCTGGCTATGTCTGCCACAAACTCTGCTATGCTGGCAGCACTGAATCATGCTGGATTAGATCTTCCAGCATTCCTCAGCCATAATGCTAGACTTCTTAATCTTGCATCGCCGGCATCTTTAGCTCTGGTCTCTAGCTCGCGTATGTATTATTTTTTAATATCCTGTACCATGTATTCAGATATAAAAAAGTTTAGGTATTGTCAGTTATATATTTGAAACCTTAGATGATACTTTGGCCAGAGTAGCATGTAACGTGTGTAACTGTGAGGTATAGTTTTCTTATTAAAGTTTGATCTTCACACTTCGCAGACCGAAGTGAGTGCACTTGCTCAGTGTGGCTTGAAGGTCTAGATCTAGACAGGGTTGCTGATGGAGATGAAAGCAATGGGCCTAATGGGGACGATGGATTAGACAACTGTGATAGGGAGTGTAGTGAACGATGGGCCATCGGGGCCGTGCGGGTGACCTCTGCAACACTGTGGGCAGCCCTTGAAGAAACCTTAACATCTCTTGCATTACATCACTGGGATGCCCTTGCAAGGTATATAGATACTGTATATTCAAAACCTTGTGGCTTTGTAATGTTAATTTATTATTATTTTGACAGGTTTCCACCTTCTGAAGGATTATGGTATTTAAATAAAACTTAAATGATTTTAAGTTTGAGCAAAAAGGTATGGCTGCTCTTGAACCCTGCAACACTTGTCTGTGATTACAATTTTAAGAGTATTATTATTATTGAACAGTGCAGTACAATGATTAGTTGGTAAGTATAGCATTATTTTTAGATTAGTATGTGTTTAGTTCTGAGAGAGAGAGAGAGAATTACTGTGCTATTCCACTCAAGTGCATCTAAGGCAAAATCCCACTGACTCGTGATTAGGATCAGGCACAGTCAGGATAGGCCTACATTCTGCACTGATGCAACAGAGAAATTTCAAATTGCTACTTTCTTGGTTATATAGGTGTTAGAGAAACAGTGGAGAAGACTCAGTCTAACTCAGTGCTGGTGGGCCAGAGTGCTAGTGCTTGTGACACTCAAACACCTTCCAAGTACTCCTTGACCTTAATCAGTGCCATATCTAACTACAGAATGATTCTATCCTGACCTCCATCAGGTGGAGGTATTGAGACCAATACAAAAGTCCCCTGACCTAAGTTCATTACATTTTGTTCTGCTAGGTTGTATTTACAGGAGACCAAAACTATTCAGTTAAATGGTTTGTGTTATCCTTGGAATGTAAGTATTTAATTTGTACATTGAGTTTATTCTACACAAGTAAATATTCTATGTACATAGATAAGTCATTTCTGTGACAAGATTTTCACCAACTGGTTGTTAAAAATTACCATCTGGATTATCTTCACCACTACCAATAGCTGGCCTGCGTCTGTTATGTCTGTAGTGGTGAGTCTCACTATGTTCGTAATTCCTTGGTACTTTACTATCCATTGGCTAACCAATGGATAGTTAAGGTTATCTTGGCAAGAATTGGGGTAACTGAATTGTTTCAAGCATAGATTAGACAGATATGAATGAGTGTGAGTGGATATAAATAGGAGCTGCCTCATATAAACCAGTAGGTATTCTGCAGTTTTTTTTGTTCTTATGTTCAATATTAAATAACTAGAGTTATATTGAGTATAATGAATGTTAATTTACAGAAACCAGGGACCAAGTGGACCAAACATAAGCAGTTGCAGCCGTCACGGTGCACAACAACGAGGAGAAAGGCGACGATCGGATCCCCTGTATGATGTGGAGGTCAACACATCATTTCTGGGACTCCACAAATCTGCCATAAGTCATTTCTCAATTGGGCACCATAAATGGACACGGGTAAGTGGTACAAGGGAGACAAATGCATTTTCATCACACCTATGGTGGAACACCTTATCTCCCTATCTCTGGTTCTCTCTATAACACATAATATATATTAACTTCAGTTATGTTTGGGATAAGTCTTATTTGGTGTACTGTATTTTCATGGATTGATTTACTTGCAGGGTGAGTATGGCCTGGTGAGTGGGCCATATGATCTTCTGGTGAACAATAGTGGCCAAGACATTTGTATTCACCTGCACACTCTTGAAGCCGTAGCATACTCACTCCTGGTTCCCCTTCCCATTCTCAAGAATTATCTACGCTTGGTAAGGATTTCAGACAATTGTTTCACATTGTATTTGGAAAAGTTTTATTAAACATTTCCATTAGGGCAGCTTCTCACTATGGCCATGCATTCAAAATGCACAGATGTGCTGTATATAGAAATGTTCCTATAAAATATTTTGTTGAGGGCTCTAATTTCTCACTGTGGACATGCATTCAAAATGCACAGATGTACAGTACAGTACAACCTTGATTCAACACTATATCGGACCAACCCCATATAGTGAAGCTCACCAACCCGACCCCTAGAGGTCAATGCCAACAGAAACAGACTTGGAAAAACAATCTTGAACCAAAGGGGCAATCACAAACAGAGGAAAAGAGAGCACCCGGTCCAAGGACTAGGACAGCTCAGGCGGCGCATGAGCAGGCCGGAGGTGAAACAAAGCATGAGAAAGCTTACGAAACGGGGACATCCACCCCAAACGTAAGTTGAAGCAGTTTCCAGAGGCCATTGCATCCTTGTCTCTCTGAGATGGCCAGGTTCTGGCGCAAGATCCCCGGAAGGCTGAACTCCGTTGACTAATGCCCTAGACTAATATATCGCATATCAGTCGAATTGCTCCAGGAAGCCTCCGGGGCTCACCCAGGAAATGGTGTTTCATTATATTCAATGCTGATTTTTTGTGATCAAAGATTATTTTGTTAGCAAGAATCTGGTATTTTTATGTTTACTGTGTTTGCTTATATTTTTCAGCACAAATTCTGTTTTCTTCACTTAAGATTGTGTCCCTTTTTTTTTTTCAGATTGAGCAGTCACAGTGTGTTGTAGTGTATGGTCCTCAGGACAGCGGCAAGCGTTTTCTTGCAAGATGTCTTGCTCACTTGAAGGGTGGTGGTGGCATAGGAATGACTAGGATAGATATGGGTGGTGGAAGGGCATCTAGTATGGAATCTGTCCGAAGCATTGTGGAAAGTGGTGGAGGTTTTGTTGTCATGGAGCGTGTGTCTAGAGAAGCATGGCCAGGCGTATGGGCCATGGTTCAGGGAGTCAGCAGTGGAACAGTTCTGGTAACTATGGATGCCTGGAGACGTCCAGGTGGAGGGCAGCTTGAGGGTGGTGTGCTGTGGGTGCAACTTCGCCACGACCGAGAACCCTTGGTGTCTATCCTGAGCCGCTCCCTTACACGACATATTGCCTCGTTACATGCTGGAGTCTTCCCATCTCCCACTTCTGAGACATACCGGATCATCGACTGGGTATCTGGAGCTTGGGGACGCCTGACAGCTACACTCATGGCTCTAGGCTTCTCTTCTGCTATTCATGGCCCTCATCTGTTTACCCAGACTCTACTGGCAGCCAACAACCCCAGAGATATCTTAAGGTTTGTGGACCAGAGAATTGTGTGGATACAGTACTTTAATAACAAAAGTTTGTATTATTGATTTAAACTAAATAACTTTTTGTTAGGTAAGGGCTAAAAGGATAAAGGATCATAACTTCGTAAACAATGCTAACTTCTTATGATTAACTTAGCATTATTTCACACTCTGAATTTGTGTATCATTTTGGTTTCTCTTATTTTAAGGCAAATTGCATCAAATTAAGTTTTAAGAAAATATCTGCATCATCAATTGATAAATACTTGACAGAATTATTAGCATTTGAAAATGTTTGTATCTAGTATTATAAAGTCTACTGGAGATAGCAACTAAACATGTAGCAGTAATAGTACCAAAACAGATTAAGATATACAATATAGAAATGTAAATAACAGAAAGAAGAGAAATTGACAAATATCAGAACAATACACTAAACAGAACAATTCTCATTTTCAGTGGTGTCCAGCATTTGTGGAATAATGTCATAAGTGAAGAAATTCGTACTGAGGTGGTTACTGTTTGGAGGAGGTCCAGTGTTGGGGGGGAAGTGGATGAGGCCAGAGTTACCAGTATGGCTTTGTATGTAGTGATTCAACGCAGTCTTGCCCCAAACTTGCCTTTACCCACTCCAGAAGCACATAATTTCTTGGCAGCTCTAGATGGTGGTCTGGGGAGATCTGCTTTCCGGGGTATTAAACCAACTGTTCCATCACCTCGGCCAAAGGACTTGCCATTGGAAGTGATGAGTAATAAACCTTGGACAGGCCCTTCATATGAAAGAACAGAAACTCAACAAGCATGCACCTCTGTTGGTGTGGCATCGCCCACTTCACCCGAGTGGGATGAAGCTAATCTAACAAAGATTTTGGGTCTCTCACCTATGGGATATGCGTGACCTTGGTATCTCGTTTCTCAGCTTACCTCGTACTATTGTGGTGACACCGTGACTGGAGATCCTATGAGGTTCTATTCCTTTTACCAAACTTCTTCCATAAAGCCACCTGAAACTCACTCTATAGAAGGAATGTTTTCCCCAGATTGGTTATGCATCATTTGATGTGGAAGCTGATGCGTTTAAGCCATCTGGTATGATCTCAACAAAATTTTAATCTATTCCTGTAAAGAAAGTAAAAACTTTGAATCATTCATTTATGGAAATCTGTGCTGTTGTTCCATGTGGTTGAGTTGTGTTTGGCAATATTGCTCAACTCTGCCTACTGTATAGGTGCTATGTATGACTTGCATTGAAATGCAAATGAACAGCTAACCTCTAGCATCATAAGAAAATAGTTTTTCTTGAGTGTGAAGGGCTGTGTTGAGTGAAACAAGTCGAGCATGAATGCCTTCCTTTATCACTTGCCTAGCAATGGTCATCCTCATCTCTTACTCACTAGCATGTTTGAGCAGCTTGATGTGATACTTGCATTTGTTCTTCCAGTGGTTTGATCTATTTTTGTTTTCTAATGCAGAGCTTTTTATACTTAAGGAGTGATGAACAATCAGACACATGCACAGGTAGAGGAGGATCACAGTTCATAGCTTTAATTTTGTCAATATTTTACAATGTCAGTGTCTCCAGTAATGTTAACCAGTTTTAAGACTGGGCAATCATCCCCAGGCAACTATCCCAGTGATGCAATTGAAATGTTGATGCAACTAGATGTCCAGTGCAGGGCTCACAATGAAGGGCTCATAATGCAGGGCTCACAATGAAGGGCTCACATACACATTGACGATCAAGTAGGAAATTATTACAAAAATTCCAGATCCTATCCTGCATGTAAAGAGAATATGTCTTATAAAATGATGACCTGGAGCCACTATCTTAGATCAGTACCTCACTAATATCACCTTAACTATGGATCTTCCACTACAAAAAGTTATATTCATTCTTAGGACAGGCATATAAGAAAGCTTGTGATATAAGAAGCCAGTTACATGTTTAGGAAATGTGAGGTGTGCTTATGCACTGTACAGTATTAAGATTTTGGTTTGTGGTCTTAAATAAGATGACTTAACCAGTTTGGATGGCAATATTCAATAGGTCTCCTAGGTCCTCTGTAGGAGTATTCAAAGAAACTGTTGTTTTAATGTCATTCTCTAGTTATGCGATACACTTCCTCGTGTTGGGTTGTCTCATGACAGTAAGTAATTGGTAATGAAGATGTGATATTGTGTGCAAGAAATAAGTTTCACTCATACCTAAACAAATATTTGAAGTAGGACTACAGATGTAGGCTTCCTTTAATATGGGGTAAACACACACCACAGTGGAAAGTCTCGTGTATTAACATAACACTTGTCTAAACGCTAGTTACATGATCTCACATATCATACCTACACTGTAAAATTCAGAGAAACTTAAGTTAGCTGAAGTTCTGCGTTGACAGTGCATATACAATATACATTTTCATAATTTAGTAATGAGGGAAATTTGCACATCAGGTAAATACAACTTGGTGATAAAAAAGCACATGTACAAAACCAAAGGATAAATACAACAATTGGCTCGATATCAATCTTAAGATGAAAATAGTAGATTGAATAAACTTGTAGCATTAGTAGCCGTTTCAATCATATACTATAGTCAAGGATTCTGACCTTGCATGTAGTAGGTAAATGTTATACATTTTTTTTGTTTGAAATTTGGACTTCAATTTTTGTCTAACAAACTAGATTTGCTTAGAAATATGTACCATGCTCAATCTGTTTTACATAGATAATTTTTAAGGTTGAGCTCTTTATTAGGTTTCACAGTATGGTATATTAAATTCATAGGTTGATGTTATTCAAAGGACCTAATATTTATAATAATCATATAATTATTTGTGGCATTAAACCCTTGAATGTAATAGAAGTATATTCTTAGATGGATGCATTATCATGTGATCACTGACGTCGGGAGCACCCAGCGAGGGTGTTCTATAGACAAATCCAAACAGTGGGAGGATGATGGGTGCCTTTGATCAGATGAAGAACTGACCATCTTAACAGTGTTTTTCAAGCTCATTAGAAAAGTTCTCTAGTACTTCTCATTCCTCCCAGTACTATGTGTCAGCAATATATTTAATGGGGCATTACACACTTCAGCTATTTCAAGCATCTTTATCTTTCTGAATGACAGAAGTCTTCAATTTCATTCTTTGTATAAACTTGTCTGAGGTTAGTTGAATACGTATGCTATGTAGGTGATTGCCTGCAGTTACTGTATCGGGTAATGAGATGCATACAAGTTTTATGAAATTTACATCAATGGTAGGTAACTATTATCAATTTTCCTGGTGAAAATATTCCTTGAAGAAACATAGGGTATTTTATATTTGTAATTTGATGATTGTATGATAGATTACTCTTGTTTCATTCCTTATTGTCCTCCTTAGGTTTATGTTGTTGTAAATGTTAAATAAAATATATTTTTTAAGCAATTATAGTAAATTATCAAGGCAAAATAATAAATTTTATTAGTAATTTTAACATTTCCTTGATCAGGTAATCAAATGAGACAAGCCCTGGATGAAATCTATATTGTTTAGGCTTAGTGATGAGTGTACAATATGCTGCCCTCTGAAAGCTTCCTGAAGATAATTTTGATTTTGTTATCTATGTGTTGAGGCACAACAAGCGGACAGCTGAAGAAGCACAGTGCAGGTTCGTAACAAAATGGATGTTAGTCCTTGGGCCTATACATTAATGTGACTCTCCACGCCTTCTCATATGTTGCATAAATATCTCAGGCTTATTGAACATCAAATAATAGTGTACTGTGTGCAGCTGTTTACTTGTTGAAAGTCGGTTGTATCATAATGTGAATGAATTGCTATAATTTCTTTGGACTTTATACTTAGCAAAATTGCATATAAGGGGTAGCATGTATTTAAACGAAATTCTTAAAATTTTCATTGGTGCATATAATTATATGGCACAGCTGTATATTTGTTTTCAATCTTGATTGAATATAATTTTTCTAGAAAGTTTTTGGAATCGGCATTGAATTTTAGTTTTTATATAATTTGAGAACAGAAACTATATAAATCAAATGCAAACACTAATATTGTGGCTAATCAGCTTGTTGGTGAGCAATGTTTACATATTAACAAGGTGTTAATATAATCAGCAGGTGCCTTCAGTATAGCTGCTTATTGGAGTTCCAAATACACACACTCAAGTTTTGTACTGGTATTTTTAGCTCTGCAGTGATCACATCTTTGGATGTGGTCAAAAGCTATATGCAAGGGCAGTATCTGTCAGTAGGTGTTAGTCATTTTATGTAACCTGAGCATTTCTGGGACTTGGGTCAGATTTGAAGTGCAATGAATTGTTATTAGTTATGTGAGAGCATGAATAATTAATAGTCAGTATTGAGTGTAGATAGCTTGGATTACAGAGTTATATTCTTAATTCATTGGTTTTCATGCAATCTTTTTAAGATAAAAATACCTCTGACTCCCACGGAACCACTACTGGGGAAAGAATATTGTTTGTTCCAAAAAGTGTTCCTGTCTTAGCCACTTTTTTTTATTACCCGTTATTTAATGAATTATCACACGCTACTGATCTATGTAACTACTGTACTGTATAAAATTTTATTATTCCTTTCTCTTGCTTCATCTGCTTTAGATGCCTTCCTACAGACACCTTTTGACTTGACTCATTGTAAGTGCAGAGCAACTCATAATTTGTTTCATTTTGAGGTGTAGCAATTCATGGTTCATTTACCTGTATGATAGCCAGTCCAGTATGTAGAATTCCTAAAGTAAATATTTTTTATCATAGCTTCTCTGTCTTTAGCTTTTGGGGTATGAAGACAGGTGGTAGCCTAAATATTTGAATACCTGCATCTGCTACTCTGTTCTTAAACAAACAAACAATACAACATGATACAGGATAAATATGGGAGTAGAACATGGTTATCAAGTGACCAGCCATGGAAGACACACATTTCATATTTCATTCAGTTACATGAATGGTTATCATAGGTTGGGTTTCACGTTGGGTGAGCCTAAAAGACAAACTTAGTGATAAAGATAACACAATTTTTTAGTACACTGTAGTATGCTGTTAATAATCTATAGTAATGAACAGGTTTGGCTTGGCTCATTTTCTGATATTTAAAATTTGCATTGGACAGCCATTTTTCATTGCTTAAGAGAGTACATGGAACCCTCAACATTGAAGAATTAAAGGCTCATAACTCCTTTCAAGAAAATTACACTTTCGTCATGAAAACATTTTACGTAACAACAGGTAGTGATGAAGGAGTTTGCTTCCATTGAGAGAAGCTATGGTTGAGGGTGTTATAAACAGGAGAGAAATGTTCCCTAGAAGGTTTTGTTGACATTGTTTGGGTTCTTAAACATTATATAGTTTGTGAAACAAGATGGAACTTTGTGATACCTGTATTGGTAGAAATGTGTAACCTCATCTTTTATTAACTTCCTCAGCCAAATTGCAGTTGGTATGCTTCATTTTTGAGATACTTATTTTCAGCCAGTAATGCCTCAATGTTGTTTCATTCTGTAGGAGACCTGGAGGTCGTTTCTTACTATGTTACAATTTAGGATATTTTAGTAGAAAGATCAAATTTATGGACTGGGAATACTCAGCTAAACCAATTCTTTGATACAGATGACTTCTTCGGCATCAAATAGTATTGCAGCTAAGAGGTGAAAGTAATCAGGTGAATTATGTTGACAAGAGCAAGATGACTGACCAAGTCGGTTATTTGATGCATTTATTGAGTCAGGCATATAAAATGGACAAGGTGGGTGGGACTAAAATTACCTGAAGCTGTTGTCATCAAAAGAATCTCTTCTTGATTGTATATGTATGTACAGACCACTGTGTAAACAAAGGGTATGTATTTTAAAATGTACAATTAATGTATTTAGCTATCATATAAAGTGTACAGTTCTTTTTCCTAATAAAAACTAGTTTGTTATCCCTTTCTTAAGATTAAACTGATGGATATCAAGGCTGAAGCTTGTGCATTATTGTAATAATTTACTATGACTGCATATTCCATATTCATTATTTTCTTGTTTAGGGCTTCTATCCCTCTGACTACGGCTCTTGCGAGGTTTGACTAAAAGAAAAATTAACTAGAATGTATATCTTATTATAAATTTACTCATTGTTTCGAACCTACAAGGTTTATTCTCAAGTGATTGTACTTGATTGATGAAAATTAAGCCACCCAAGTGGTGGCACAGGCATGAGTAGTCCATAAGTGGTATTGGACAGGATTGATTGATGAGGGAAACTGGTTTCCCTTGAAAACTCATAAATCTTTTCGAGGTTGCGTATTGGCCATACACGCTCAACTCACAGGCACTTGATGGAACACCGCCCTGCTTCTTATTGTCCAAGCTTCTGTTTTTTTCCTGAGTGCACTTGTATGTGACGCCTCCCTTCGGAGGCTAGCGTCTTCACAGCAGGGGTCCGTCTAATTACCACAAGCTACCACAAGCTACACAAGCTTCAGAAAGCTTTCTGGCAATACGTTAGTAATGAATAAATATGATATGTTAGGTTAGGCTGACCTAACTTAACCAAACCAAACCAAACCTAACCTAACCGACGCTTGGATCGTCGACTTGATTTGGCGTCACCAGCTTTTTATTTTCGCCTAATTTCTTTATAAAAAGATACTTATTCAGATTAAAGTTATGTTTTTTCGTGTTGTACATTCAGCACCAACATTATAATGAGTAAATATATCATATTTATTCATTACTAACGTATTGCCAGGAAGCTTTCTGAAGCTTGTGTAGCTTGTGGTAATTAGACGGACCGCGTACTCTCAAACGTGGTGTGTTCCTGTGGCCTTCCTGCCACCATAACTGTGGTGGTTTGTGGTCTCCGTGGTGTAGTGGTAAGACACTCGCCTGGCGTTCCGCGAGCGCTATGTCATGGGTTCGTATCCTGGCCGGGGAGGATTTACTGGGCGCAAATCCTTAACTGTAGCCTCTGTTTAACTCAACAGTAAAATGTGTACTTGGTTGTAACAACGATTCTTCGCGGCAGGGGATCGTATTCCAGGGACCTGCCCGAAACGCTACGCGTACTAGTGGCTGTACAAGAATGTAACAACTCTTGTATATATCTCAAAAAAAAAAAAAAACTGGCGGTGGGAAACGGCTCTAGCAAAGTTGCTGATTGGCCATACTCGCTTAACTCACGCTCACTTTATGGAGCGCCGCCCTGCTCCTTATTGTCCAAACTGCATTATCCCTCTTACAGTCGTGCATAACCTTGTTGAATGTCATGATTTTCAGGACGAGCGTGTCTTGCTTTCTGACCGTCCCCCCCTTCCCCCCGGTCACTTGTCTCTCGATAGAATTCTTTGTGAATCGGATACTTTTGATGTCGTTTGCCTTATGCGTTTCTGTTCTCGTATTGGCATCCTTTGTGATATTTAGCGCCCCCACATTTTTGATGGTGCTACATAGCATTCCCGGCTTGGTGGTGCCTTCTTTTGATAATTACATACTTCAACGAAGCTCGTTTTCTGGTTGTTGAAACCGTATATACTAGGATGTATAGGCATAGGTTAGGCTTGGATGGGTTGGATTGAGTTAGGTTTAAAAAATGTGTTGGCGAATCGTCTTTTGTACGATGTGACTTACCTGAGTTTACTTGAGATCCACTAACTAGTGGCCTCGACGAGTACAGGAAGCCGGCAGCTTGTCATAGGGCCCTCCACTTGCCCTGATGATCATTTCCCGTTGTATTTTAAACCCCAACAGTTTTGGCATTTACAGCTTCGGCAGGTAGGCGGTTCCATGGGTTTATAACCCTGTGGGTGAAGAAACATGTTCTCAGGCGTACATTGTGGCTTGTGCTTGAAACCGTTGCTCCTTGTTTTATAGTAGCCAAACTCCAGCATTTATGTTAGCCAGACTATGGCTAATGCTATTATACTGGATTTGGTAGGCTGTTATTAATTGTATACTAACCTCCTATCCTATGGCACCACCAAGTGTTTAGTATAGGTTCTAATAAGTTAAATAAACAGCTTATTAATGCTGTGTATAATCAATTGATTGATTAATTTCCCAGCTTATCTGGTTTCTTTAGTTAATTTAGTTCATTTATTATGCACCCCATACCCATCATGTGGGCGGTAGCGGAAAGGGTTACAGAGGCACATAATGGGCTCAGGGACTGAACCCCACAAATCAATTAGCTAAGCAAGTTACAATCGTGATGAGCTAGTTACAAAATTCAATATACGTCGTCACATCATCAATGGGTTCGAGATTTCTTTATTGGTATTATTGTTGATTTAGATTTATTGTGATAATATAGCCACTTGTCCTCCTCGTATTGTATACACGTAAGAAAAATTTGAGAGATTTGTCTTCACTTTGTATATTGTGTCCATCCGTTGCGTCACAGCACCAGACGTCACTGGTCACCTTTTCACTTACTGGCCAGAACCAATAGTGCTGAATTAGACTGACAGAATGCCGCACACATCATACATTGCACCACTCAACAGACAATACACTCCTACAGTATATATTATCACCTACGGTTGGTTCCTGGAGCTTTCTCTTAGTTTCAGCGGGTGGAGAGGCCAGTTGTGGAGGGACGAATTTCGGGTCTCAGACCTCCTGGCTGGCGCCAACTCCAGACCACGGTAATTACATATCCATTATATCTTCGTATATCCGTTATATGCCAAGAAAAAATTGATAGAACTTTAGGATTTAAATAAATCATGGGACTTGAACATTTATACGTGATTTACATAGAAGCCTATCTTCAGATATCAAACCATGTTTCACATTCTTTAGTAGAAATATATCTGGATTCTAGAACAATACATTTTTATCTATTATATTTTCAATGCTCAAACGTAGCCACATTTGTCTTCAGTAATAGTAAGATATGAGGGCTACTTTCACCAATTCCAGAGTTTCGATATAGTAACCTATTACTATATTATAAGTTGTCATTAGTTAAGGTAACGCAAGGATATGGAAGACGCTAACACTGGGGAATATTACACTTGTAATTATCATAGAAAAACCAACATATTTATTTTGTTGACCCATCGCTAAGTCTAGAAGGGTTTATGTGCCCCATCAATGGGAAACAAAATTCATGACTGTCTCAATGACAAAATTATTTATGAAACATATATTATATATATATATATATATATATATATATATATATATATATATATATATATATATATATATATATATATATATATATATATATATATATATATATATATATATATATATATATACATATAATTGTAATAATTAAGAAATATATTAATCACACCTATTCACTGAATATAGAAAATGCGTTATTTCCACTCGTGGGGCACTAGGCCTTGCTTGCTATTATTACTTGGTCATATTATCACCGCCGTCTTATACATGAATTATATATATATATATATATATATATATATATATATATATATATATATATATATATATATTTTTATATATATATATATGTATATGTATATATATATTATATATATATATATATATATATATATATATATATATACAGTATATATATATATATATATATATATATATATATATATATATATATATATATATATATATATATATATATATATATATATATATATATATATATATATATATATATATATATATATATATAATATACGGAAACAAGCTTGAATGGTCCCCAAGCCGATATACAACAGAAAACTTGCATATATATTAGTTGAAACCGACAGAAAGTTTTAGACTTATGATTCTGGCAGGAATCTCCCAAGACCTAGAGGATGCCTACTGCATATTACTAACCCTATGACCCATCACAGGATTAGAACCCAGACTGCCTGGGTAAATAAAGGAACATTTATTCGAGGATACATGGGGCCTTGAAGGCCCCAGTGTAGCCTGGCAGGCGACAGTGTAGCCTGGCAGGCCCCGGTGTTGCCTGGCAGGCCCCGGTGTTGCCTGGCAGGCCCCGGTGTAGCCTGGCAGGCCCCGGTGTAGCCTGGCAGGCCCCGGTGTAGCCTGGCAGGCCCCGGTGTAGCCTGGCAGGCCCCGGTGTTGCCTGGCAGGCCCCGGTGTAGCCTGGCAGGCCCCGGTGTAGCCTGGCAGGCCCCGGTGTTGCCTGGCAGGCCCCGGTGTAGCCTGGCAGGCCCCGGTGTAGCCTGGCAGGCCCCGGTGTAGCCTGGCAGGCCCCGGTGTAGCCTGGCAGGCCCCGGTGTTGCCTGGCAGGCCCCGGTGTAGCCTGGCAGGCCCCGGTGTAGCCTGGCAGGCCCCGGTGTAGCCTGGCAGGCCCCGGTGTAGCCTGGCAGGCCCCGGTGTAGCCTGGCAGGCCCCGGTGTTGCCTGGCAGGCCCCGGTGTTGCCTGGCAGGCCCCGGTGTAGCCTGGCAGGCCCCGGTGTAGCCTGGCAGGCCCCAGTGTAGCCTGGCAGGCCCCAGTGTAGCCTGGCAGGCCCCGGTGTTGCCTGGCAGGCCCCGGTGTAGCCTGGCAGGCCCCGGTGTTGCCTGGCAGGCCCCAGTGTAGCCTGGCAGGCCCCGGTGTAGTCTGGCAGGCCCCGGTGTAGTCTGGCAGGCCTCAGTGTTGCCTGACGGCAAAGATACTCGCAAAGTACCAGTGCTGTTGATGGGGGAGACCCTTGGCGGCCTGGATTCGAATCCTCTGAGGGGTCATAGAATTAAAGTGATATATATTCTACATTTGGTTCCATAAACTTTCTCTTTGGTTTAAGCTAGTTGGGGGCCAGTTACGGATGAACGAATTTCGGGTCCTAGGCCTAATTCTGGCGTTGGTAACTATGATTGAAATGGAACTATATTTTAACAACTTATTTTCAGCAAAAAATAGTGCCCCAAACTACAGAATATACTTTTGAAACAGCTAGATCTTGAAGGCTGACACGACAAATGATCCATGCTGAACCGAAGATCAGTTGACCACAGATAACTGGTGCTCGTCTGAGAGGCCTCAGAGTCTGGAACAACAGTAACTGGTGCTCGACTGAGAGGCCTCAGAGTCTGGAACAACAGTAACTGGTGCTCGTCTGAGAGACCTCAGTCTGGAACAACAGTAACTGGTGCTCGTCTGAGAGGCCTCAGAGTCTGGAACAACAGTAACTGGTGCTCGTCTGAGAGGCCTCAGAGTCTGGAACAACAGTAACTGGTGCTCGTCTGAGAGACCTCAGTCTGGAACAACAGTAACTGGTGCTCGTCTGAGAGGCCTCAGAGCCTGGAACAACAGTAACTGGTGCTCGTCTGAGAGGCCTCAGAGTCTGGAACAACAGTAACTGGTGCTCGTCTGAGAGGCCTCAGAGTCTGGAACAACAGTAACTGGTGCTCGTCTGAGAGGCCTCAGAGTCTGGAACAACAGTAACTGGTGCTCGTCTGAGAGACCTCAGTCTGGAACAACAGTAACTGGTGCTCGTCTGAGAGGCCTCAGAGTCTGGAACAACAGTAACTGGTGCTCGTCTGAGAGGCCTCAGAGTCTGGAACAACAGTAACTGGTGCTCGTCTGAGAGGCCTCAGAGTCTGGAACAACAGTAACTGGTGCTCGTCTGAGAGACCTCAGTCTGGAACAACAGTAACTGGTGCTCGTCTGAGAGGCCTCAGAGCCTGGAACAACAATAACTGGTGCTCGTCTGAGAATTTTTTGAGCCAACGACAACAAAGTTTTATTGCAAAGTAAAGATCCTCGTACCCTAAATCGGGACATGAGTGGTACTAAGTTGAAAGAGTTCTGCGCCTGGTACTGGGCTCAGAACTCTTATCGTCTGGTGCTAAGCTAGAAGGCATCGTTGTGTGTCTATGTATGTATTAACACGATGTACTGAACGGGGTGAGAATAGCTTGAGCTACCTCATCCCTTTGTGTGTGTATTTTACCTCAATAAACTTATTTCAATTTCAATAGAAGGCATCGAAGTCTGGTACAAAGTTTAGACAACTTAAATTTATATATTAAAGCCTGGAACGAGGGATTACTGAAGATAGGTTAGAAGACGTCTGAACCTGGGACGGAACGATAGCCCTGATCCCTTCTTATAGCCATGAGTTCTCCGCCAGGCTGCTCCTCCTGTAACAGTTCATGATGGTCGTCTTTCACTTTCCAGAAGACTGTGGGCATAAGTAGTCGACCCTTGTTTGGTCTGAAAAAATAAACATATGCTTAGATAAAAAAAACGCTGGCAAGTAGCTGGTCTTCCATTCACATGATAAAAGCAGTAGTGAAATGTCATTAATATTTTCAAACAAATTAATTAACTTTCTTTGCTCAACTTGTGACTTCTTACTCATAACATAAAGTGAGGCAACAAGGCAACGATTCTAATTACAAGATAATTGCTTCATTCAAAATATATTGATACATGAAGCAATCGTCAGCCTTATCACTCCAGGTTTCCTCTCCTGTACTCATGTGCCTACACATGTACACAGATAAAACTTACTTAACGACTTTGACGGCGATGAATATGCAGCAACCAGCCAGGAGACCCACGAAGAATCCAATTCCCGCAACGGCCCACTTCCACGAAGAGTCGCCAGAAGCCACCAACATGTCCGGAGTGACCAAGCTTGGGATGATCTCTGGCGATTTCGTCGTATGACGAAGTGACGAACTGCTGGTAGAGGTGGTAGAGGTGGTAGTGCTGGTAGTGCTGGTGGTGGTGGGTTTACTGGGAGTGGTACTAGCTACGGAGGAAACACTTTTATTACCGTCATTAAAATATTTGTTTAGAAATACAAGGGAATTCTCGCGAGGCACAAGAGGGTCAGCGAGGTAGCCGAGCCAATGGACTGCCTTGCCAGACACGGTCACGTTATTGAAAGATACGCCGCCATTTTTGTGGGCAACAATGCTAGCCTCGTCCGCAACTTCAATGGTGACATTGGAGAGCAACAGCAGACCATCGGTAACAACGATGGCGCCTTTGGCTAGTGTGCCGAAGGTGACGTCCTGTATATGCGACAGCTTCTTAATAGTGATTCCACCAGCCATAACATTTTGTATAGTGCTATTAGAAATAATTCCCTCGGCCTCGATGGTGAGGCCGCCTGCAAGGAGTGTTCCAACAGTGCAGTTAGCCATTATCATACGACTGCCGGCTTGCATGCCCTCCACCTGACCTAACTTGGAGTTGTTGAAGATACCAGTGAAGCCGGTCCAGTGAACCCCAGAGACCTTTGCCACTGTGCTGTCCTCCAGGTCAACGTCTCTAAGGGTGCGGTCGGGGGAGAGGAGGTCGACGGTGCATTTAGTAAGGGTGACATCCAGGACCCCGGAGGTGATGTTAGTGAAGTGGACGCCCGTCGCCTCCAGCCACGTCTGGCAGTCCCTTCCGTTATCCACCGTAGTAGCATTAACCACGTCCATCAGAATTAACTGCAAAGGAGGAAATAATAAATACATGTATTCATCAAATCACTTCAGCAAGCCACATGAGCAACATTTGTGCATTAGGCTTGAATGGTCCCCAAGCCAACATGCATCAGAAAACTGATGGCTTGGCTTGGGGACCAATCAAGCTGAAGTGATTTGATGAAATATCTGTGCTCAAAATAGTCACGAGCGCTGTCGATTATTGGTTTTAAAAGTCAAACGACTTTCCAATATTTTGTACTGTCTGTGGCTGAGTGGTTATTGTACTGGACATGCCAAGGGCCATGGAGGCCTTGTGTGTGTGTACTCACCTAGTTGTGTCTGCAGGATCGCGCATTGACTCTTGGATCCAGCGTGTGTGTGTGTGTGTGTGTGTGTGTACTCGCCTATTTGTGCTTGCAGGATCGAGCATTGGCTCTTGGATCCCGCCTTTCCAGCCATCGGTTGTTTACAGCAATGACTCCTGTCCCATTTCCCTATCATACCTAATTTTAAAATTATGAATAGAGTTTGCTTCCACAACCTGTTCCCCAAGTGCATTCCATTTTTCCACTACTCTCACGCTAAAAGAAAACTTCCTAACATCTCTGTGACTCATCTGAGTTTCCAGTTTCCACCCATGTCCCCTCGTTCTGTTATTATTACGTGTGAACATTTCATCTATTTCCACTTTGTCAATTCCCCTGAGTATTCTATATGTCCCTATCATATCTCCTCTCTCCCTTCTTTTCTCTAGTGTCGTAAGGTTCAGTTCCTTCAGACGCTCTTCATAACCCATCCCTCGTAACTCTGGGACAAGCCTCGTCGCAAACCTCTGAACTTTCTCCAGTTTTCTTATGTGTTTCTTCAGGTGGGGAGTTCCATGATGGCGCGGCATACTCTAAGACTGGTCTCACGTAGGCAGTGAAAAGCGCCCTAAAAGCCTCCTCACATAGGTTTATGAATGAAGTTCTAATTTTCGCCAGTGTAGAGTACGCTGCTGTCGTTATCCTATTTATATGTGCCTCGGGAGTTAGATTAGGTGTTAAGTCCACTCCCAGGTCTCTTTCTCGAATCGTTACAGGTAGGCAGTTCCCCTTCATTGTGTACTGTCCCTTTGGTCGCCTATCACCTGATCCCATTTCCATAACTTTACATTTACTGGTGTTGAACTCCATTAGCCATTTCCCTGACCATCTCTACAACCTGTTTAAGTCCTCTTGGAGGATCCTACAATCCTCATCTGTCACAACACTCCTCATTAATTTTGCGTCATCCGCAAACATTGACATGTAGGATTCCACTCCTGTAAACATATCATTTACGTAAATTAGAAAGAGGATTGGTCCCAGCGCCGATCCTTGAGGTACTCCACTTGTTACTGTTCGCCAGTCCGACTTCTCGCCCCTTACCATTACGTCAGTACCAGATCTAGTGAAAATAATTTGGACCAGTATTATGCAGTCAAATCGCTTAGTGTGAGGGTGCCTCGTGGCTGTCCATTGATCTCCTATGACACAGGATCCTAAGTGCCTAAGGGGCAAACAAACTAGAAATGCTCTGGAAATCAAGGGACCCAAAATGTGGAGTGACCTTCCCATTCACGAAGAAATATAAGAAAGGAGCCGGTCGGCCGAGCGGACAGCACGCTGGACTTGTGATCCTGTGGTCCTGGGTTCGATCCCAGGCGCCGGCGAGAAACAATGGGCAGAGTTTCTTTCACGCTATACCCCTGTTACCTAGCAGTAAAATAGATACCTGGGTGTTAGTCAGCTGTCACGGGCTGCTTCCTGGGGCTGGAGGCCTGGTCGAGGACCGGGCCGCGGGGACACTAAAAGCCCCGAAATCATCTCAAGATAAGCTCAAGAAGATCACGTCAAAGACTGTACCTCTCTCAACCAGTTTAAGAGAAAACTAAGTACTTCCTAATGAACTCTGTGTAACTTACCTTATCTCCTAAATGTCAACCTATGTCTTGTTATTATCAAACATTAATTATTAATGACTAACTTGTATAACTGCTGATATCTGCCATATATAAACTTAAAGAAAATTAAAGTCCGTCTGTTTATTTAGTTAAAATTATTTCTGTTATTGCAATTTCTGTTGTTCCATTCAACATGTAATTACGGCCATTCTTTTTTTTTTTCCTATTCCGTTCAATTCATGAATTTGATCTCAATTAGTATTTCATTTTTTCCCCCACACCTTGCCCGAAACGCTGTGCGTATTAGTGGCTCTAATACACACAGAGTATAATATATACAAGGCATTGTATACATTAGCTTTATCTAGAAATCCAACATTATGTTTGTAACTCATTTTGTATTTATGTATTTTACCTGAATAAATTATTATTATTATAAGTAATTATCTATTGTTCTTAGTCTTCTTACTTTCGTCCTAAGAACTTGACTTTCTCAAAGAATTACCTTTTATGTGTAACTGACCTGTTGTTGTTTTAGATTTAGCTACTCAGAAGGAAGTGTCCGTGTAGCACGGGCTATGGTGATCCCGTATTGACTGACCTTCTCGATGCATGACGGGTAGATGAGGACTGAGGCGGCGAAGGTGACGACGGTGCGGTGGTTGAACTGTCCGTCCGTCAGGTCGACGATCACCTCCCCCTGGCCACACACCCACATGTTAATTATCGTGATACTGGCATGTCACTGTGTTGTGCTATATGAACGATCATGTCAGTACCATGATACACAATATATTTCAACACCATGACCATGATAGACAATATATTTCAACACCATGATAGGTGCAGGCGATGAGTCACAATAACGTGGCTGAAGTATGTTGACCAGACCACACACTAGAAGGTGAAGGGACGACGACGTTTCGGTCCGTCCTGGACCATTCTCACAATCGACTTGAGAATGGTCCAGGACGGACCGAAACGTCGTCGTCCCTTCACCTTCTAGTGTGTGGTCTGGTCACCATGATAGGTGAGTAGTTAGGGAAGGTTATTAAGGCCCATCGCACTATAGCTAACTGAGCAACAGATATGTATACTATAATTTAGTCCTAAACATGTACACCCCATTTGTGAGTGTACGTTTATGAACACTCACAAATGGGGTGATCTCTCAGTCACGAATTTGCTTATTAAAAAGTTCTTCAGTATTATTTTGCAATTTAAAAACTGCCTTTGTGTTATTATTTTGTTGTTGCTTTTGTACAATCTTTGGTTCATATTCCAGGGCAGCGTGAAGCAACCGTCCTCAGTTGTACAGGGACAACCTGAAATGTAGTCTCAAAGAGGAAATCAAAACTGAGCCACACATACAGAAACTATTTGGCTAGAATTAAACGAAAAAGCAAATAATCTTATAATAGGAGTTATATATAGGCCACCAAATTTAAGACAGAATGGAAGCAAAGCATCTATGGGATGAAATATCTAGAGCATCTAGATCTAACAGTATTTATGTCATGAGTGACTTTAATTTTAGTGGAATAAATTGGTTTAACAAAACAGGGAATAATGAAGAAGATTTTCTATAATTAAGTGACGATTGCTTCCTTAGCCAACACATTAAGGAACCAACGCGGGAAAATAATGTTTTAGATTTAGTGTTGACTAACAGGGAAACACAAATTAATGACATCGAAATAGGGAGTGAGCTAGGGAACAGTGATCACAAAGAAATCAGATTTACCATAGAATGGAATAGACCTGTAGGAAAAAATTCTGTTAAAGTGCCAGATTTTCGAAAAGCTGATTTTAATAGCCTAAGAAAATTTTTGGGTCAAATAGATTGGAAAGTCTTGGGCATAGGGGGCGGGCCGGTCTTGGAGCCAGACATGAACCCAGCGATAGGTGACGTAAAAAAAAGGGATTTCGATGTGGATTCAAAATATAACCTATTTAAAAATATTCTAAGCGAAGCCCAGGAACGTAGTATACCATATAAATTGAATAGATCGAATACTAATGATCCAAAGTGGATAACAAAGGCTCTGAAGAACCTTATAGGTAAAAAGAGAGCGTGGTACAAAAAGATTAAGAATGGGGAAGTCAGTTTAAAACAATAATTCGTACAACTGGTTAGAAATGTTAAAAAGAGATAAAGAAAGCAAAAAGAAACTATGAAGTTCGCATAGCAGGGCAAGCAAAGACAAATCCTAAAGTTTTTTTTTCAGTTATATCGAACAAAGACTAGGGAAAGGATAGGTCCATTAAAAACAGAGACAAGTCAGATAATGGATAATGACGAAGAAATGAGTAGTATTTTTAATAAATATTTTATCTCTGTATTTACTAAAGAGGAACTTAACACTATGCCTTCAGCCGAAAAAGTCTATGTGGGTGGGGACGAGGACAGGTTGACTAGTTTAGCAGTTACCAGGGATGATGTTAGGGTATTAGTCACTATTTGGGTAAATCTGATTTCCTTGTGATCACTGTTCCCTAGCTCACTCCCTATTTCGATGTCATTAATTTGTTTCCCTGTTAGCTAACACTAACACTAGAATAATATCAAATTCTGCTTTCAGACAACACACAGCCCCCTTGTTTAACTCCCTAAACATGCTAAACATAATCTCACTCCACAAATTCTCTTGTGTCAACTACATTTACAAAACCCTGTTCTTAAATGCAAATCCTTGTCTGAAACTCTTCCTGGACAGATGTAATAGGACCCATTATCACCACACCAGAAATAAATATCTCTTTGATATCCCCAGAGTTAAACTTAATCTGTGTAAACACTATGCAAATTAAGGGACCCAATTTATGGAACTCACTCCCTACTGAATTGAAAAGCTGTCCAACTTTTACATCATTCAAAATCAATACTAAAAAGTACCTAATTTCATCTTCATAGTTTTTCACTTTTTGCCTAAAAATTGCACTGTATCTATTGCTACCCAATCTCCCAACCTTTATGTTCCCAATTTGAACATCTTTACCATTGTGATCTTATGATCACAATGTGATCATTGTGATCTTTACCATTGTGATCTGTTTTCTTATATGTGCTGCCAATCTGTTGTATGGTGTTTATAAATCTTGTTTATCTGTATCTTTTGCTGCCCAGTCTCCCAATCTTTATGTACCCATTCTGAACATCTTTACCATTGTGATCATTGCTGTCTTATATGTGCTGTCAATCTGCTGTATGGTGTCTATTAATCTTGTTTAAATTACTAATCAAGCTGTCAATGTAATCAATCAGAGCTTTAATATAACAATGTGCTTTAATATACTTACTTATCTCTCTCATCTCATTTTTCTCTTGTAATGTATCTTTATCATTTATCAATTCTGATTGAAATTACCTACTTAAAATTATCTGCTAGATTAAGGACCTGCCCGAAACGCTGCGCGTACTAGTGGCTTTACAAGAATGTAAATACTGTACTACACAATGTATTCTCACAAACCCAATGTACCTTCTTGTATATATATATAAATAAAATAAAATAAATAAATAAATAAATAACACTAAATCTAAAATATTATTTTCCCGCGTTGGTTCCTTAATGTGTTGCGTAAGAAAGCAATCGCCACTTAATTACAGAAAATATTCTGCTTCACTATTCCCTGTTTTGTTAAACCAATTTATTCCCATGTATATGAGTGGGATTGGGTGGTTATAGATAGGAGCTGTCTCGTGTGGGGCCAATAGGCCTTCTGTAGTTACCTGAATTCTTATGTTTTTAACTGTGCGTACCTCTGGAGCGCTGGAAAAGTTGCAGATCTGGTCGAAGAGCAGGACTTTACGGCAGAAGGGTGAGCTGTGGACGTTGGTGACCGTGAGGTTATTGACGTCGCCTACGAAGAGAGCCGGAGCCCGGACGTGGACCATGCTTGGGGATGTGGGCTCCTGCACTGTCACCTGTGAGCCGCCAGCGTCCCGCCACCGCCAGCGTCCCGCCACCGCCAGCGTCCCGCCACCACCAGCGTCCCGCCACCGCCAGCCACAACAACCACACAACAACCACATGAGACTAAGGCATATATACTCGTGCAGTGAAGCATTTAGTCTATTATTGTAAAAGGAATAGTTTGTGAATAATGTGGGTATACTTTATGGGTAATAATTGACGAACTTTCATGTAGCATTTATTACATTCTACACACACACACACACACACACACACACACACACACACACACACACACACACACACACACACACACACACACACACACACACACACACACACACACACACACACACACACACTCTCTCTATCTCTTATAAGACATAATCAATTGAAAATTGTGTCTCTTGTGTCAACTACATTTACAAAACCCTGTTCTTAAAAGCAAACCATGCTCTGAAACTCTCCCTAGACAGATGTAATAGGACCCATTATCACCACACCAGAAATAAATATCTCTTTGATATCCCCAGAGTCAAACTTAATCAGTGTAAACACTCTATGCAAATTAAGGGACCTAGTCTATGGAACTCACTCCCTAGTGAATTGAAAAACTGTCCAACTTTTGCCTCATTTAAAACCAAAACTAAAAAGTACCTAATCTTCGTAGTTTCCTACACTGAGCTTTAAATTTGCTCTGTATCTAGTGTTACCCAATCTCCTAATCTTTATGTACTTAACCCAAACAACTTTATCATTGTGTTCATTGCTGTCATATTTTATGTGCTAGCCATATGCTGTATTGTGCCTGCTAAGTTTTGTTAAACTACCATTCAAGCTGTCATTGCAATCACTCTGAGCTACCTATGTGCCTTAATATACCTACAATTTTTCTCTCATCTTTTATTTTTTTTCATGCTATGTAACTGTTATCGTTTTTATAAATTTTGCAAGTATTTACCTACTTATAAGTTTCTTAGATTAAGGACCTGCCCGAAACGCTGCGCGTACTAGTGGCTTTACAAGAATATAGTAATTACTATGCTAGGTATCCTCACAATCCCAATGTACCTTCTTGTATATAAATAAATAAATAAATAAATAAATAAATAAATAAATAAATAAATAAATAAATAAATTGATACAATCCAATGCGAGAATGTAACTTTATGTAAGTCAGAGAGATGGATACTTTGTCACGTTCACATGACGTGATGTATAGATTATTTCTTAATATATCTCTATTACTGGAGAGCAGTAAAGGTAGTAAGATCAGCCCTACCGTTACCTGGTCCCAGGTATAGTCTCCCGCTACCTGGTCCCAGGTATAGTCTCCCGCTACCTGGTCCCAGGTATAGTCTCTCGTTACCTGGTCCCAGGTATAGTCTCTCGCTACCTGGACCCAGGTATAGTCTCTCGCTACCTGGTCCCAGGTATAGTCTCTCGCTACCTGGCACTTGGTAGTTCAGTTCCTGAGCTCATTATTTAACTCAGGACTTGGGTAGTTGTAACCTCTACCACTACCGCTCACAGAATAGAAAAATACTGATTTTAGCTAGGGTCGTCTACAATTTTAAAAGGAATGGAAAACAATTTTACACTTTCCCTCCCTCAGTGAAATTTAAAATTAAATTATCAACCGTAACTGAGCAACGGTTTCCTGCCCGAAGCGCTGCGCGTACAAATTGGCTTTACAAGATTGTAATTACCATATTATGTATCCTCACAATCCCAATGTACCTTCTTGTATATGCATAAATAAATAAATAAATAAATAAATAAATAAATAAATAAATAAATAAATAAATAAATAAATAAATAAATAACGAAGAGGGACGGAGGGAAACTTGTCCTCTTACAAATTACGTCGGAATTTGGCCGTTTACCCGTATGACCGAAAATGGACGTAATTTGAAAATGAAAAGAATTGAAAATAAATTTGGGAATTTTTTTTCAAAACAGTCAGTTAAGGGTCCTCTGATAGGTTAGGAGGGCAGGAAATTCTCTTAAAGTTCCAAAAGTCCTGAAAAATTGAAAGTTTCCTCTCTTAACCTTTCCGAGTAAGCCGGAGGACTCAAACAGAAAACGGGACAGTACATCACTTTCGCGAACAGATTTCATTTCAAATTACGTCCATTTTTGGCCCATAGCATACGAGCGAAAAGCGACATTATTTTTAAGATGACGGGTTGATACACGTCAGGAGACGGCGTGTATCATCTAAGCAATCCCTGTCTATGTTTCCATATGTCTTTGTTATCATACCGTCTCCCACTCGGTCTGCGGGGCGCACCTGGTTTCTGGAGACAGCAGAGATGATGCCGTAGGTCGGGAGGAGGAAGGTAGGTCTGACGACTTTAAGAGAGGCGTTCTCCTCGAGGATGATGGCGTCCTTGGCGGCCATAAGGCCAAGCGTGTCGCTGAGGACCAGGTTGCTGCCTCTGGTGACCACCAGGCTCCGTCGATCAAGCCGTGATACCTTCGTCTGGCGCAGGACGCTCGTCTCGTTGGGGTGCTTCACCGTCAGGGACCCCGCGCCCAGCTGCAACACATCGGACTCTAGTACCACCTTCAACACTCAGTAATGTCACGCACCTTCCCCTGCAACACACCATACTCTAGTACCGCCTGCAACACACCATACTCTAGTACCGCCTGCAACACACCATACTCTAGTACCGCCTGCAACACACCATACTCTAGTACCGCCTGCAACACACCATACTCTAGTACCGCCTGCAACACACGATACTCTAGTACCGCCTGCAACACACGATACTCTAGTACCGCCTGCAACACACCATACTCTAGTACCGCCTGCAACACACCATACTCTAGTACCGCCTGCAACACACGATACTCTAGTACCGCCTGCAACACACCATACTCTAGTACCGCCTGCAACACACGATACTCTAGTACCGCCTGCAACACACCATACTCTAGTACCGCCTGCAACACACCATACTCTAGTACCACCTGCAACACACGATACTCTAGTACCGCCTGCAACACACCATACTCTAGTACCGCCTGCAACACACCATACTCTAGTACCGCCTGCAACACACCATACTCTAGTACCGCCTGCAACACACCATACTCTAGTACCGCCTGCAACACACGATACTCTAGTACCGCCTGCAACACACGATACTCTAGTACCGCCTGCAACACACCATACTCTAGTACCGCCTGCAACACACGATACTCTAGTACCGCCTGCAACACACCATACTCTAGTACCGCCTGCAACACACCATACTCTAGTACCGCCTGCAACACACCATACTCTAGTACCGCCTGCAACACACCATACTCTAGTACCGCCTGCAACACACGATACTCTAGTACCGCCTGCAACACACGATACTCTAGTACCGCCTGCAACACACCATACTCTAGTACCGCCTGCAACACACCATACTCTAGTACCGGCTGCAACACACCATACTCTAGTACCGCCTGCAACACATCATACTCTAGTACCGCCTGCAACACACCATACTCTAGTACCGCCTGCAACACACCATACTCTAGTACCGCCTGCAACACACCATACTCTAGTACCGCCTGCAACACACCATACTCTAGTACCGCCTGCAACACACCATACTCTAGTACCGCCTGCAACACACGATACTCTAGTACCGCCTGCAACACACCATACTCTAGTACCGCCTGCAACACACCATACTCTAGTACCGCCTGCAACACACCATACTCTAGTACCGCCTGCAACACACGATACTCTAGTACCGCCTGCAACACACCATACTCTAGTACCGCCTGCAACACACCATACTCTAGTACCGCCTGCAACACACCATACTCTAGTACCGCCTGCAACACACCATACTCTAGTACCGCCTGCAACACACCATACTCTAGTACCGCCTGCAACACACCATACTCTAGTACCGCCTGCAACACACCATACTCTAGTACCGCCTGCAACACACCATACTCTAGTACCGCCTGCAACACACCATACTCTAGTACCGCCTGCAACACACCATACTCTAGTACCGCCTGCAACACACCATACTCTAGTACCGCCTGCAACACATCCAGTGTGGAGACCATTAAGGTACTTTGATGAAAGGCGGGAATAATGGATGGCACTGTAGTCACTGTAGAAGAGTTAAAACAACACTTGGAAGAACTAGATGTAACAAAATCAACGTGATCAGACTTAATCTCACCATGTTGACCAGACCACACACTAGAAGGTGAAGGGACAACGACGTTTCGGTCCGTCCTGGACCATTCTCAAGACCATTCACTTGAGAATGGTCCAGGACGGACCGAAACGCCGTCGTCCCTTCACCTTCTAGTGTGTGGTCTGGTCAACATACTTTAGCCACGTTATTGTGACTCATCGCCTGCTTAATCTCACCATGACTTATGAAGTATTTTGTCACCCACTGTCTAAACTGTTCAGTAAAACATTTGAGACATGAAATATCCACGAATTATGGTAGAAAGTAGTCAGGATAAGAATGGTGGCTCACCTGGGAGGGCTTAACAAAAAAATAACATGGATTTAGAAAGAGGAAGTCCTGTCTGACAAAGTTGATTTTATTGTAGTAGGCATCCTTCAGTCTCGGGAGACTATGGAGTTGAGCTCTGGTTGTCACTCTCTCCAGGGCGCAAAGCCTGGGTAGGTAGATATGGAGGAGAAGCTGTTACCCACGCAGCAGGTCCCCCCCCCACCCTCTCCATGTAGCTGGAATTATCCAATGGAAAGGCAAATGCCAATACACATGGTTCCAGCACCGTCGCAGGAGCTGCCAGAACGAGGTCGAAGTCAACAACGAAGTGCCTTAGGGGCTCCAACTCCTGATTTTTCCTCGAGGTTGACTCCTGAAGCCTTTCCCAAAAGAGGGGTATGGCCGCAAGGTAGCGGAGGTTTGGAATAAGGGTTTTCCTTCCCCCTAGATGGGCTGCCTTCCCAGGCTAACGAGTCCCATCTACCCGGACTGTATAACAGGATTTTGTTGTATATTTTGTTGTATAAAAGGACTACTAAAATAAGACAGAAAAAAAGATGGCCGGGTAGATTGCATTTTCCTAGATTGTCAAAAGCACTTGAGACTGTTCCTGGTGATGTACACAATGGAGAAGCAGGCTGGGATAACTGGGGAAACATTGAACTGGGTGAGGGACTACATGAAGAACACAAGTAAAGATTCAGTCAGAGAGAAGGTTTCAAGTTGAGGGCTGTGCCAAGTGGGGTCCCACAAGGCTCGGTCCTGGGACTGCTTTATGTCAAGCACCAACTCGAGGGAGTGAGCTCGAACATGTTATTAATGTTTTGCAGATGATGCGAAGCTGATGAGGAATGTAAAAACAGAAGAGGACTACAGGGAATTAAGTTCGTTCCTTGACAAACTCCAGGAGTGGATGAACAAATCCACAAGGGCTGTGACGAGGATTCGAACCTACGTCCGAGAGCGTCTGTGTGTAGTGTAGTGTAGTGTAATGTAGTCCAGGAGTGGATATGTAAGTGGTTACTAAAACTTACCCCTAAGAAGTGTAACGTAATGAAGAAAGGAAACCATAAGGGGACAGCAACTACAGGACTCGAAAAAGAAATCAATTTTGGAGTGCAATAATTCCAACACTAACACCGGCGGCACATATAAACAGGGTAACATCAACAGCATATGGGACGCTGGCAAACATTACTACATCATTTTGAAACCTGAACCAGGGGACACCTTCAAGGTTATTTACACAACATTGTTAGCCCAATACTGGACTATGTAACAGAGGTATGGGATGGAACAACAAGATTGGTATCAGAGCTAAGAGGATAGGCTAATGGAATTAGATCTCACAACGCTAGTGGATTGAAGAAACAGAGAGGGTATGATAGCAACAATAAGATACTGAGGGAGAATAGACAAGGTAGACAAGGAAAGCCTCTTTAAATGGAGAGAAAAGTAAGGCAAGACGCAGGTAGAAACTGGAAACCCAAATGAGTAACAAAAATATTAAGGAAATACTCATACGGGGGATCAACAAGTAGAATGTACTGAAAGATGTAAATATGCAAGCCACCTCCATCCACAAATTTAAGGCCAGATTCGACAAGAAATTCGAACATTGGCACAGTTAAATTATATCGCAACATGTACAACAAAGCTGGTAGGGGGGCATAAAAAGCTATACCTCGCTCCCTCGTAGACTGATAGGTAATACCGTACTCTAGCGCCACCTGCAACTCACCTTGAGAAGAAAACATTTACATAGTGGGGAAACATGACTTTATTAAGAACCGTTCATGTTTAAGAACTGGAAACTATTGCATTATGAACCTAGATTTCAGCAGTCTTTAATGCTTTGACTTGCATAAGATAGAGGAAGCGCGTAACCGTGACAAGGTAACTGAGGAAAGGAAGATAGAAGCACAAACCAGTGAATCTGTACGATGGTACAACATGGTTGCAGCTGGCAATCCCAATCATTATGGCCGAAGAGGAGGAGGTCGCGGGAGGGAATCAGTAATAGCGAGAATCTGTTTTGGATACAAATATCCATGGAGATTCGGAATGGAAACAACAATTGAGCAACGGAGTTGCAGAATCTGTGGTGAGAGTGATGGACACCGCCTTGACCACTACCTGAGAGAGGGTGGACAACTAAGAGACATTAGAAATATGTGTAAAATAATAAACCCCACATTGTTTGAGTTAGGAAAACACCATTTGTCAAATATTGATACTGTTCTTAAAAGATTTCCCTATTTTGCACTTGCAACATAACGTAAGTTTTTAAGGGTTGACGAAAGTTAATCTTCTTATTTGAGGAACTGTTCACTTAAGACAGTTAAGCAAGTCCCAGCTGTGTCTGGGTACAAGTGACAGGATGAACAACCCAGCGGGTTTTCTTCCTATTGGGGAGTGTTGTACATGCTGCTATGGCGGTATGTCCACTCACAAGATGAGTGGCGCTGCCCAATACTGTCACTATGGCGGTGTGTCCACTCACAGGATGAGTGACGCTGCCCAATACTGTCACTATGGCGGTATGTCCACTCACAGGATGAGTGGCGCTGCCCAATACTGTCACTATGGCGGTGTGTCCACTCACAGGATGAGTGGCGCTGCCCAATAATCTCGCCCCTCGGAGCAAAATGTAAATTTTTTTAACAATTTAGAGCTGGTTATTTCACAGAAAACGGAGGGTCAGTATCATGGGGTTAAGTTTCAGAGGATAAACTGTTGTGAGTGGAGTGCCCCGGACCTGTACTCTGAGACCCCTGTTATTTATCATACTAATGACACTTACACTGGGATGATTAAGATAATGAATAACACTTGAATGGATGAGAGAATGAATATCCAGCCCATCCTCCTAAACTGATAGTACTGATAGTACCAGCTGCCATATTGCGAGTATTTGGTCAAACATGTACTGTTGGACACCCCAAAATGTTCACCTTTAATGAATTTGTCCCAACTATAAATGTAATTAAAACACCCAAGCTAACCTGACCAACCACTCATAGGCCTAATATATGCTATCTTAAGCCTAATAATAATAATTCAATGTGTTGGGGGACAGATAGCCAGAGTGTATTCATACACGTTAGGCTTATATCGACATCTGTCTCCCCCACCCCCCCCAGGTCAAATTACTGACCCCGCCACCCCACAACAAGCTGACTAACTCCTGGGTACCTAATTACTGCTAAGTGAACAGGTGCATTAGGTGATAGAAAATGCACCCAACCATTTCTGTCCCGCCCGGGGTTCGAACAAGGAATTCTCGACTGTGAGTCAAGAAGGAACCCGACCCTTAATACAGGGACCCTTAATATAGTACATATATGTTACACTAGGCCTAGAAATATTTGAGTTTGGTTTTTAGTTTCTTTCGGGTCCTCTGTTACATTAATGTTACAAAAAGTTAACGTTTTTGGGGTCCAACAGTACATACGGTGACGCTCGACCAGTTGGTGACTGTAAGTACTGTCATTTAAGGATTTGGTTCTATTACAGGGATGGAGGAAGGAGGGAAAGTGCCAAGCCATTACGACTATATAACTCTTGGAAGGGATTTGGGACGGGACGGATAATGGGACGGGGGGACACAATATCAGATCGTGAACGGATTCATTTAATTTGGAAATGTGTGAGAAAGAGATTCCCGGGACCCCACGCCTCACCTTCTCTCGTAGTCGGAGATTTTCCGCGACTACGGGGGCGGCGATGGTGAGGTTGAAGACGGAGCCGATGTTGACATCATGCCAGTAACCCCCGACCCCAGCCACCACTACCCCGTCCACCTCCTCCACCGTCACGTTCTCCATCATCAGGTTGTCCAGCTGGCCCCCGTGGAGCCTCCTTATGATGCTATGGGAGACGTTCATGGTACTGATGTGAGCCACCGACACCACGTTGAGCTTGGAGTGCCTGACCGTCAGGTTGATGCTGCAGGAGGTGGAGTCCTCGGAGATAACGGGGAAGACACGAGAGAGCGCGGCACTGGTGGCGTTGAGACGCAGCTCCGTCCCACAGGGGAGCGATATGACCTTCAGGGCCCGGCAGTTGTGGAAGTCCAATATACGATAATTTTTGACACCGGCACCCCGCACCTCAACCGTCTGAAAATAGAGTTCGTGGCTGTTAAAGGAATTGTCTACTGTGTTCGTGGTTCGCACAATGACACAGCCACGTAGTTCGTGGCTATGTGGCTGTGTCATTGTGTACTTGAAGAGATTCATTTAATTTGGAATTTGGAATAGTGTAGGAATTATGGTGAAGAATTGAACAATAAGTGTTGTACTTAAAATCAATATAAATACCAGCAAAATACTGAGAGTGACGCATTGACGTTGAATATATTCTAAATAGTGTGATGGAACACAACTCGTGGACGTCACACTCTCACGTCTACCTGTGTGACGCCCTGCTGTCATAACTGGGGTCATGAGAGCAATACTTGACCTACATCACCACAACACGAGCCAGACGGGTACAGATGCTGGACCAAAGCCCGTGGCAGTGGCCTGTCTCAAATTAGGCCTACCAGGCCACTTCCTTCGACATCTTAATTTGTCACCTCGCACAAAACTTGGACTTGGTTATGCGTGTTATGGAGCCAGTTACGGCTACATTCATGCTCTCTTACTCTATCAGTTAAAATTTTGCTCTTGTTAATCATTCCCCGATTGTAAACAATTTACCAAATACGGAAATATTAAGATAAACATTAAACTGTTCAGACACCGCCCAAGAAAGCCCACACCAGGCTAAAGCATTCTCCCACTTAATTTGAAAGAAACCCAAAACCTTAGAGAGATAAAAGCATTTTGTGGCAGATTCCAAGAGCGCCAGGATCCAGTACCTGAACCCGTTATGTAACAGCAAAGTTTCCGCCAAGGCGTTCCCAGAGGATGGATGTGGCGTTCACAATAAACAAATAAATCAAACTGAACCTACTCGGTTGACGTTGGAGAGGTCGCAGGTGAGGGTTGTACCGTTGCTGGAGCAGCTCTCGGTTAAAGTTTCTATTTGGATATTGGAGACATTTGCTTTGATTAACTCGTCGTCGCGGAACTTAAAGTACGAGGAGGAGACGTTGAGAGGCGTCCCTTGTATGGTCACGTTGGTGAGTGAGATCCTGTCCTTATCCGGCAACACGAAACAAGGAGCTAAGGCCGACGTGATGGTCACGTTAGTCATGCTCAGGAACCCCACGGGTGTTGTCATAATGATGGCGTTCATCTCCAGGATCTCGATGGTAACGTTGGTGAAGGATACAGCGCCGATGACGATGGTGAGGGCGTGTGGCGCCATGTGAGAGATGGTCGTGTTGATGACCGACATCTCCCGAGCATAAAATGTTATCCCTCCAGTCGCGATGAACCCCAAGTGACTCTCCAAAATGTGCCAGCT